ATACATACATACATACATACATACATACATACATACATACATACATACATACAATACATACAGGAGCGTATAAAGAAGGCCTTCTTTATACGCTCTTGATACATCCTACATACGCACGCACACACATGCGCACACAACTGCCTCGGCGCGGAGTGTGGCTTGTGTAAACTTGTCGCGACGATTACAAATCGAACGGCAGCAGAACCGAGCGGGTAAATGGTTGCTGTCGTCCAGCCTGGGCGCATCTGTCCACGCATGCCTGCACGCTCCGTAGTGACGAAACGTTGGTGTTTATGATGGCGAATGACATACCCACTGCGAGCATGTAACACCCCCACCACCATCACCACCACCACCTCGCTGCCGTGAAGAAATCCAGTTTGTTGGGTGTCACGCGCGCGATAGCCCATCACAAACAAGTTCGCGTTGGATTGGAGCGCTGTCTGGTGTAGATGGAATCGTGATGGAATCTATTGATTAATATAATAAATATAGGCATAACGCGGAACCCAGGGCGTGATGCTGAGAGAAAAATGAATATTAAAGATAGGATTTTACCATGCACACGTGATGGCAGCCCGCCTGGCTCCAGTTTGACCGTACAAAAACGGCCGAAGAAAATTATCTTAGCAGTCAACGGCGACCGACGTCCGAGGCCCAATTCCCTGTATATTAATACAGGCATAACGCGAAACCCATGGCGTGATGCTACGAGCAAAGTGAATATTATATATCTGATTTTACCATGCACACGTTCTGGCAGCCCGCCCGGCTCCAGTTTGACCGTATATAAACGGCCGAAGAAAATTATCCTAGCAGTCAACGGCCACCGACGTCCGAGGCCCAATTCCCTGTATATTAATATAGGCATAACGCGAAACCAAGGGCGTGATGCTGCGAGAAAAGTGAATATTATATATCTGATTTTACCATGCACTTACACGTTCTGGCACCCCGCCCGGCTCCAGTTTGACCGTATAAAAACGACCGAAGAAAATTATCTTAGCAGTCAACGGCGACCGACGTCCGAGGCCCAATATATATGAGAGAGAGAGCGAGAGGGAGAGAGAGAGAGAGAGAGAGAGAGAGAGAGAGAGAGAGAGAGAGAGATAGCTAGCTAGCTAGATAGATAGATAGATAGATGGATAG